TCATGACGCAGTGGCGGGTCCAGTTCGCGATCAAATATCACGTCTTGGACTGCTTTTTTCGGATCGCTCCGCAAGACGAACGACTGCCACGGACGTGTGCGTGACTCATCATGAATTCGGCTCATACGGACTTGTGCGTTGAACCTACCTGCATTCAACCTGGGTCACACGAACGTTGCCGTGGGTTCGTGCAGCCAGCCTGCTCACACTGTCACGCGAGCCACTCACGGGCCCCCAAACAAATCCACGCGCTATGTTGGCGATGGAATACGGTGAGGGCATTGTGTAAGGAACCCTGAAATAAGGAATCCAGGGTCTGGAAGCCGGTGAAACTCCGATCGCGGATCGGCCATGGATAGCACCGCCGCCCTCATCAGATAAGGAATCCCCCAGGGTCTGAAGCCTCCTGGGCCCATTCCTTAACGAATGCCCCCACCGTAACATCTGCAAGGTAGACGGCTAATCACCAGGCCTGAGCTACCAAGAATAAAAAAAACACGAATGGAGACCGAGAAGAGTGGTCATAAAGAGGAGGAGGAGGAGGAGGAGGAGGAGGAGGAGGAGGAGGAGGAGGAGAAGGGCCAACCCCAACGGGCTCCCCGCTTGCGAGGACACCAACTGAACTCGGACCCGGGCTGAACTCGGACCCGGGCTGATCTCGGACGCAGTTCTGGAGGATTTGCGAAGGATGAGGGCGCAGAAAAGAACTGGGAATGACGAAGCGGGAGGACTGCAAAAGATGGATAAACGGGGTGGGATTTGGAGTAGGAAGCTGGAAGAGGAAGTGGAGGAGGCCATGTGGCCATCTGTCAAAAAGGTTATGCTGTGAGAACAGAACGTCATTCAACCATAGGTAGTAAATCACAAGACAGCGCGCCGGGCATGCCCCGCCGCCAAGCCAGACAGCAAACATGTGTCGGGCGTAGCCCTCGACGCATGCACATGCACATGCCAACGTCGTATGTACTGGTTGCGTCATGGCTTGCGCGTTCGCCGCCCGACGATAAAACGGCCGCCTCACGAGCGCGGCTAGTGCGTGTGGCCGGGCGCGAGCTTGGCCCGGCACGAGTTCGGCCTGGTGCGAGTTCGGCCAGGCGCGAGGTCGGCCAGGCGCGAGTCTTCCAGCCTGCGGAGGAGGCCAAGCCGAGGGAGAGTGCCAGAGCCGCCGGGTGCGAGTTCGGCTGGGCGCGTTCTCGGCCGGGTGCGAATTGTTCTGCCCCTGGAGGAGGCAGGGCCGGGGGAGAATGCATGAGCCGCTGGGTGCCAGTTCGGCGGGGTGCGAGTTCGGCAGGGTGCGAGTTCGGCGAAGTGCGAATTCGGCTGGGCTCGAATTCCTCTGGCTGGCAGGTCAACCGCATGCGCATGTACGAAGTCCCAGAGACACTAACATCCGGAAGCCCCAATACAAAAACCTAAGATGTTAATCCACAGACCCTAAAACCCTAATGCTCGACCTTAAAACCTTAATGCGCCAAGACCCGGCTACCCTAACACCCAACTGTCCTGAACCCTCAGGCCATTACGCACGAATACATGACATTCTAATGCGTAACCTAATCCCCTAGCGTCCGAATGCCCTGAGACATACCCCAAGACCCTAATACCCAGAGGTCCTAAATCCTTAAGACCCTAAGACCCTAACGCCCTGATACCCTCAAACCCTAAGCCCTTGATGCCATAAGCCCTTAATGCCCTCATGCCCGAGTAATTACCATAACATCCGAGTGCGCCAATACCCCGAGACCCTAAAGCCCTAATACCTGAAGACCCCAAAGCCCTAACACCCTGATGCCCTAATACTTGAACTCTCTAAGGCGATAATATTCGAAGTCCATAGCACCCTAAAGCCCTTCGCCTTTAATGCAACACAAAATAAACAAATCCCAAACCCTAGTGCCTGAATACCCTAAGGCCCTAAAACTCTAACACCCGAACACCCTAATACAATACTCCGAAACACCAACATACCCTGACGCTCTAACAACTTAAAACATTTAAACCAAGAGATCCCAATTCCGGAAAACCCTAGTACCGGAATGCCCTAACGCCCGGATGCCCTAAGATCCCCAAGTCCCTAATACCGTAATGCCCAAACGCTCTAAATATCTGTGGCCAGAAGACCCTAAGACATTAAAACCTGAACAAACTAATCGCCGAATATCCCCAAACCAAATACACGAATGCCGCTATACCCTACAAACCTAGCGCCCTCATACCTGACACACTGTTACCCTAAAACTCGACTACCCAGAAATCCCAATACCCTAAGAACATCAGACCTCACGCCCTAAAGCCATAATGCTCTAAGGCCCTAACCCCCATGATCCTGATTCTAAAGCCCTAAGACCCGAATGCCCTTTTATACTTTGAAGCCCTAAGACCCTGACGCCGTGATACACTAAGACTCGAATGCTCGAACACCCTGATACCCGACTGCCCTAATAACCGAACGCACTAATACAGTAAGACCGTATAACAAAACCCTGGGAACCGAATGCTCCCATCTTTAAAACTCTAAGACCCAAATGCATGAGGACCCAACATGCCCAACGTCCGAATACCCTAACAGCACTTCCGTCCTGATACCCTGGTGCCTTAATACCCTTAATTCCGAAGGTCTTAAATCTGAAAGCCCTAAGGCCACACGGCCCTAGCATCCAGATGCCCTAGTATCATGGCGCCCGAAGACCCCAAGGCCTTACTACCCTATGGACCGAATACCCCAGACCATGATACCCAAATGCCCTACAGCCCGAATGCCCTAATACCCTAAGGCCTAGAGCCCCAACGTCCTAAAACCCAAATCCCTCAGACCCGTAAGCCCTAAAGCCAGAATGTCCTAAGACCAGAGACCGAGGCATCCTCACACCCGAACGCAACAACGCCCTAAATCCCAAAGACCTTGATGCCCTCTGGCCCGAATGCCCTCATGCCTGAGCGCGCTAGAACCCGAATGCCGTAACGCCATAACGCCCTACAACACTAACGCTGTAATGCCCTATCACCCTACAGTCCTAGCCCCTTAACAACCCATGATCCTAATACACTAACGTCCGAATGCCCTAAACCTTCGAAATGGCCTAGGAGTCCAATGTCCAACGCCCTGATACCCTACGACCCTAGAACACTAACGTCCTAATACCCAGCGGCCCAATGACCTTACAGCCGTAATATCCGAATGCCCTAGCACCCAAATGCTCTAAGACCTTCGCACCCAACGGCCCTAAAGCCCTATAGCTTTTAAGACCCTGATACCTTAGTAACCGAACGCTCTACCCTAATACTTTAATTCCATACGGCCCTCGGACCCTAATGCCGTCATACCTGAAAACGTTGAGACCCTAGTATGTGAAATCCCGACAGCCCTTATAGCATAATGCCCCAGCATCCAAATACCCTGATGCCCTAACACCCTGATCCCCTACGGCCCTGGTACCCTACGGTCCTAAACACTAACGCCTTGAGACTCTGAGGCGCCAGAGACTCTGAAACCCAGAGGCTCTAACGCCCTAGTACCCCAGGGACTTAATACCCTGGAGCCCTAATTTGCCCGGCGAAGGGCCCAACCATATGCAGCTGCGAGTGCCGCAATTGTGAGGATCGTCTTCGGTGAAACTCTTTATGGGGCCACAAACATGTAGGGTGCGCGCCGGTTTGGGTAGAGGGGGGGGCGCATGTGGACCCTCCCACTGGGACCTTGGGTGGAACTCCCTACAAGGCCATGAAACGTGTGAGGGCAGTGCCGAAACGGGCGTAACGCCCACATGCGAACTGCGCCACAGGGACCTTTGGTGGAACTCCCTACGGGGCCGCGAAATGTGTCAGGGGTGTGCCGAAACGGGCGTGACGCCCACATACGAACTGCGCCACTCGGACCTTCGGTGTAGCCCCTTATGGGGCCACAAAACGCGTTAGGAGTATGCCGAAACAGGGGTGACGCCCACCTGCGAACCGCGGCACTGGGACCTTCGGTGGGGAACCATGCGGGGCCACGAAGCGTGTGAGGGGTGTGCCAGAACGGGCACGACGCTCACATGCGAACTGCGCCTCTGGGACCTTCGGTGAAACTCCCTATGGGGTCACTAGGCGTGTGAGGGGTGTGCCGAAATGGGCGTGACGCCCACATGCGGACTGCGCCACTGGGACCTTCAGTGGAGCTCCCTATGAGGCCACGAAGCGTGTGCGTGGTGTGCCAAAACGGGCGTGACGCCCACATGCGAACTGCGCCACTGGGACCTTCGGTGGAGCTCCCTATGAGGCCACGAAGCGTGTGCGTGGTGTGCCGTTTCGGGCGTGAGGCCCACATGCGACCTTCGCCACTGGGACCGTCGGTGGATCTCCCTATGGGGCCACGAAGCGTGAGGGGTTGGCCCGAAACGGGCGTAACGCCATCGTGCGAACTGCGCCACTGGGGCCTTCGGTGGAGCTCCTTTTAGGGCCACGAAGCGTTTGAGGGGTGTGCCGAAACGGGGGTGACGCCCACATACGAACTGCGCCATTGGGACCTTCGGTGGAGCCCCCTATGGGGCAACGAATCGTGTGAAGGGTGTTCCGAAACGGGCGTGACGCCCCCATGCGAACTTCGCCGCAGGGACCTTCGCTGGAGCTCCCTATGGGGCCACGAAACGTGTGAGGGGTGTGCCGAATAGGGCGTGACGCCCACATGCGAACTGCAGCACTGGGACATTCGGTGGGGCTCCCTTTGGGGCCACGAAGGGTTAGAAGGGTGTGCGGCAACAGAGACGGTGCAAGGATGAGAGGAGGGAGGAAGGCGAGGAGGAAGGAAAGAAGGAGTGAACGCGGGGCGCTGTCTTTCAAAACGAAGACCCCATACCCTAAAACCTTAAGGCCAGAATTTCATGATGCCCTAACACGCTGGTGCCCTAAGACGCTGTAGCCCTGACATCCGAAAACCTTAAGACCCGAACGCCCTAAGACCCCAAGGCCCTCAGACCCGAAGGCCCTGAACTACCGTAACACCCCGATGCCCCCAGAACTTGATAGCCTAAGTCCCTGGTGCCTCAATACCAGAAGGCCCTGCTACCATAACGCCCAAATACCCTACTGCCCTAATGCCCGAAAGTCCCGACGCCGTACCACCCCATTACCCTAAAGCAGCAGACCCCTAACATCCAACTACCAAAATGGCCTAACGCCCTAATACCCTGGACTTGAATGGCACAAGACACTACTACCCAAATTGCCTGATACCCTACTACTCTAGAACCTAAACGCTCCCGAATGCCCTATTACTGTAATCTGGAACGCTAGAACGCCCGAATGCCCTAATAGCCTAATAGGCGAACGCCCTACAACCTTAATACCCTAATACTGGAAGATCCTACTACTGGGAAGACCGGATAAACTTATACTCTAAGACCTTACAGCCGTAGCCATAATGCCCGAACGTTCCCATACCCTAATGCCTTCAAACCCTTCGACCATAGAGCTGTAATACCGTAATACCCTAAAACCGATTACCCGAATACCCCTTTATACCCTAAAAACCACATGCCCTGATACTAATACCCTGAGGCGCCAATACCTTAACACCCTAATGCCCTAAGACCCGACAGTCCTAAAAGCCTGATGCCCTAAGAGTCTAAAGCCCTAATACACAAGTAACCGAACGTTAAGCCCTCATACCTTCATATCATAAGACGCTCGGGCCCTAATGCCTTCATACCTTAAAACCCTACAGACCCTAATGCACGAAGACCCTACCACACTTTTGCCCGAAGACCCTAACATCCAAATGCCATGGCACCCTAACACCCCAACCTTACTCCCATACGGCCCTGATGCCCTAAAACCCTACATCCTGAAACCCTGAGACCCTCAGGCCATTAGACACCAAACATCATAATACCCAAATATCCCAACGCCCTAATGCCCAAAGACGTCAGCACCATATGACCCGGGCATCCTGAGACCCGAAACGCTTAGAACTATCTTTACGCAGTGCCCTGGAACCCTAATGCCCCTACGACCTATAATCCGTGTGCGCTAGTACCCTGGAACCCAAGAAACTCATACCCTAAGACCCTCATGCCCTAAGGCCCTAGAAGCCTAAAGCCCGAATGCCAGAGTAACCAAACACCTTACCCGAATATATTGATGCCATAGGACCCTAGGCCCCTAATTCCCTCATACCCTGAAGCCCCAAGATCCTAATACCCCAACTAATACCCCTACGCCTTAAAACCTCAACACCCGCATCCCCAGACCCGGTGCTGCCTTACGACCAAGTGCCGGAAGACCGTAATACCCTAATGCCTTGCGGTCCTAAAACCATAATGCCGTCATACCCTAACACACTGATACCCCAAGACTTTACAGCCCTAGAACCCGAACGCCCTAAGACCCGAACTCCCGAATACCCCGAGACCCTCAGACCCGAAGACCCTAAACCCCTCATGCCCAAACTAACTGATGCCCTCAGATCCTGATACCCTAGACCCTGATGCCCCAATACCGGGACTCTGCGATCGCAGAACCTTGATACTCTCATACCCGAACACCTTAAGATTTTGATGCGCTAAGACCCTACTAACCCAAGCCACGAATGCCCGGATACCATAAAACCTTCATGCCCTAATACAATAAGACCCCAATACCTTACGAAAGCCCCAATGCGTCAACACCTCAACAGCCGAAAACCCAAATGCCCTAAGACCCGACTGCTCTAACCCCCCAGGACCACGCGGCCCTGACGCCCTAATGCCCTAATGCTCTAACACCCTAATGCCCTGAGGCATCTATGCCCCGGTACCCGATTCCACTAAGACCCTGAATTCTGAACGCGCTGAGACCCGAACGCCCGAATGCTCCAAAAAACTCAGACCCGAAGACACAAGCAAACTCCTATACCCTAACACCCCGGTGCCCTCAAGTCATGCTGCCCTAAGACCCTGACGCCCTCATACCGGAAGACCCTGCGACAACAAAAGCCTAATACCCTCATGCCCTAACACCCTAAGATCGAACGAGTGCGCTAAGACCCGACTACATTGAGCCATACAGGAATACCGTACAAAGTTCATACCTTAGTACCCTAAGACCCCTGTGTCTTAACACCCGTAAACTTAATGCGTCAACACCTTACCACCCTAACGGCCTAACATCCGAATGTCCTAAGGCCCGACCGCCCTAAATCCCTAAGCGGACCTGACGCTCTAATGCTTTTTTGCTCCAACACTCGGATGCCCTAAGACCTTCATGCCCCCATGCCCCATTGCGCTCAGACCGTAATGCCCTGATCCCCATAATGCACCAAACCCGAAGACCCTGACGCCCTGAAGCCGTAATGCCGACACCCACCAACTCGGGCCCAGCCGAACTCGGACCCAGCGGAACTCGGGCCTGGCCGATCTCGGACCCAGCCGAACGCTCAGCTGAGCTCGGACGCCGGCTCGCGCCGTCGCGGGAGGGCCCGAGCCCGAGGTCAGCTGAGTCCGATTCTGGGTATTCCCGGATGAGCCGGGTGCGAGGTCAACCGGGAAATGAACTCGGACCATAGGAGGCAACTACTCTAGGAGGTTTTCGTCGGAAGAATTTAATAGGATTCAGCCCCATTTGGGAGCTGTTGCGCCGGAATGGGCCTCGGACTAAGCCGGATTGAACAGGACTCAGCGGGATTAAGCCGGATCAAGCAGGATTAAGCCGGATCAAGACGGATTTCGGACCTGGGCTAAATCAGAATTTGACCTCCCAGGAGTTGCATCCGAACGGACCCAAGGAAAATCAGACCCCGACGCACGCAGGCACGGCTGAGCTCGGACACAACTGAACAGACATCCGACCGATCTTGATCTACGTCCAGTCTGAGCTCCCAGCAGAACTCGCTGGAGGTTCGCGCCGCAACGGGAACGCCCGGGGTCGAGTTCAGCCGGGTCCGAGATCCGTCGGGCCCGAGTTCAGCCGGGTCCGAGATCAGCCAGGTCCGAGATCTGCCCTTTTCCGAGTGGCCCCGCCCGCGCCAGCAACCCCAGGAGCCCGTCCTTGCCTCCCCGCATCCTTCGCCGCGCCCACCCTCACACGCACAGTGCCAGGCTGGTTGCCACGAAAGCCCACAGCAGTGGGAAGAGGAGGTGCCCCTGCGCGAAGGAGACGCCAGCAGAGCTGATCAGATCCAGGTGGTCATTGGAGGAGACGTTTGCGAAGAAGAGGGCGACGTAGTTTATGGCGAAGAGGCTGTACAGCGTGCCCAGCACGTAGACGAGGGCGTCCCGCCTGCGCCACCTCCCTAGCTGCAGCTCCCACTCTCGACATCCCTCCGTTGGAACTCGCACGAAGTGACGCTGGTGCGCCAGTTTGATGATGGATAGAGGGATGCTCGCCAAGAGCGCAGAGACCACACCGACTGCGATCAACTCTCCAAGCGCCTGCCACATGCAATCGTCGCCATGGTCGTCACACTCCGCGTTGCACTCCTCGGGCGAGTCCTTCGCCAGAGCCCCCCCTGTGCTCGCGAAGAAGAACGTAGCGATCATCACGGCCCCCGTCAGCTCGCAGCCGAGCAGCAATACCCTCATGGATCTCCTCATGATGATGCTTCGCACAAAGACCGCCCCGACGGGACAGTTGATCAGGAAAGATAGCATCAACGTGCGAGCCGCGTGGCACCGCGAGCAGCGACGCCGAAGCGCGCTCTCACGGGCCGCCCGCACCCTGCCGACCATCTCGGCCAGCATGTCGTGCCGCCGCTTGGCCTCGGCGACGCTGCCCTCGGCAGCGGAGCCAGCGAGGGTGCGCAGCGCAGCGCCCTCACTGTCCAGCTCGCCCGGCGCCGGGGGCTCCAGCTCCTTCTGGACCTCTGGGCTGAGCAGGAAGTCCACATCTCTGGGGTGCATGAGCAGAGACGCGCACACCCGATTCGTCGCGTTCCACTCGGCCAGCGTTTTGGCCAGATCCTTGAGGCCGAACTTGCCCCTGAGAAGTTCCCACACGAAACTGACAAAAACCTCGACGGTTTGCAGGACGCCGTCGACGCACTTGGTGACGATGCTGACGACTTCCAAGAGCGCGCCCTGCAACAGCTCCTCGCAAGACGCCTTTGTGTCCTGATGGACCGCCTGGCGGACAGACTGCAACGACCCCACGGCGGTTGTATAGCTGGCCATTGACGATGTAGCTGCCACCGCGTGGCCTTGACTGCTCTGACTGCTCGCGACGCTGCCGTCTGACCTTTTCTTGCAGAACTCCTTGCGCAACGCCTCCGTAACGGGCGTGTGATCGGTGCCGCGCGGAACTGTCCGAGGCGCGCCCGCCGCGGCGCGGTCCTCGGCACCCACTGCCCTGCAGCTCGAACTTTCCAAGCAGAAATGCTTGCGCAGAACCTCCGTGACGTTTGCGCGCTCGGCACCGAGCAGGGTCACCGGGGGCGCGCCCGTCGTCTCGGTGTGGTATCCGTCCGCCCGCGTCGTCGGGCAGGCGACGGGTTCCCGCGCGAGCTCGGGAACGACGAACTCCCTCGTGCCCCAGCGGCCCGCCCGCTCGTCCCTGACGTCGCACGCGTGCGCGATCAACAGCATGGCGATGTACAATAACATCACACACTGCAGCAAAACCGAGCCCGCGGAGTCCAACCAGTCGCCAGTCCACAACTCCACGTAGGACTCTGCTGACAGCAGGCTGGCCTGGCTGCACTCGAGCGAGCTCACGAAGCCCTTCAGTATGGCCCCGAAAACTGTGAGGTGTGTGGTAGCGCACCGCAGCGTGCCGTCAGCGAGGCGCGTAGTTGCCATGCCCTCGGAGCTCCATTTCAGCATGGCTTCGTCGAAATCCGCCGACCCTGTCGGCGTGTGGACGAGGCTCTTTCATTCGTCGCTGTTTCATTGGTCGTCTCCTCGTCGTCGTCGTCGTCGCCGTCGCCATTCCAAGCTTTCTCCTGGGCCTCCTTCTCCGACGCGCCAGCCCTTGTTGGAGGCCTTGAGATTGGCACCAGCACCGACACAGGTGGTTGCCTCCACATGGGGAAGATGATCCTAGGTTCCGGTGTTGGTGGTAATACTTCAGCCACCTTGGAAGCCAGAATATGACCACCATCACCGAGATCGGGATCGTTTTCCCTCGGTGGAGGCACACCGCCGATCTTGCTGTTGGTGCCAACCTCCTCTAGGCCTGCGACGTTGCCTCTCTTACCCTGGGCCTTTCATTTCAAGCGTGCTGGCCAAAACGACAGTAACGTAGCGCGTCATTCATTCGAAGGAAGCCCCTTCCCTTGATACCTTCGCCCCCCGGGGGGGGGGTCCTGGGGGGGGGGGATCCGGGAAGCGAAACGGTCTTGCTGTGGCCCGTTGGGGCCTCCCGTGGCCCGCTGGGGCTTTCTGTAGCCCCGTTGGAAGCCTTCGGTGGCCCTGGTGGCGGCCCCTGTTGGGCCCTCTGTGGCCCGGCCGCCGCTTCTGAACACCATGCCCCAAACACCATACGAAGCACTTCAACTTCAACCCCAGAGGCACAGGCACAACACGCACGTAAACCTCAGAGACACAAACACGACCCGCACTTGAAGCGCAGAGACACAGGCACGACACGCACTCAAACCTCAGAGACACAAACACGACGCGCACTTAAACTTCGGAAAAAAACAGGCAGGACACGCAATTCAATCTCAGAGACAGAGACACGACACGCACTGAAACCTTATAGACACAGACGCGACACGCAGTTACATCTCAGAGACACAGACCGGACATACTGAAACCTTAGAGACACGATGATGATGATGATGATGATGATGATGATGATGCTGCTGCTGCTGATGATGATGAGAATAATGATGATGATGCTGATGCTGATGATGATGCTGATGGTGTTGATGATGATTTTGATGGCGGATAGGATGATGGTGATGATCCGTCGGTTAAACCAGTCATGACAACAAACATGATGATGATGCTGATGATGATGATGGTGAAGGGAAGAAGAGAAGGATGGTTGAGGCGGGCGCGGAAGGATGAGGAGCGTGATGTTGATGACGACGAGGATGATGCTGATGGCTGATGCTGATGCTGATGCCGAGGATGATAGTGATGCTGTCGATGATGAGTGCGATGATGATGCTGATGCTGGTGACGATGATGATGCTGATGCTGATGCTGATGCTGATGATGACGATGATGATCATGATGATGATGATGATGATGATGATGATGATGATTATTATGATGATGATGATGGTGCTGATAACACTGCTGCTGATGATGATGGTGATAGTGATGATGATGGTGATGATGCTGCTGATGATGATGGGGAGGAGGAGGAGGAGGAGGAGGAGGAAGAGGAAGAGGGTGTTGCAGATCGTGCTTATGATGATGATGCCGACGATTACCAAAACGATGACGACGACGTTTATGAAAATGGTAGTGGCGATGCTGATGATGAGGCTGATAGTGATGCGGAGGAGGAGGAAGAGGAGGAGGAGGAAGAAGCTCAAAGCGAACGCGCATTTGTATATGATAGCGCACTTGCATCCAATCGCATCTGGCCCATCCAACCACCGTACCTGGCTTGTGGTTCAGAATCCTCAGGGATACTTCTGGGGCTCTCTTCGGAGCGCTCTCGGGGGCCCATGGGGGGGCCAGTTTTGGAGCCTCTTGGGAGCCTCTCGGGGGCCTATTGGGGCTTCGTGGGGGCCTCCTGTCGTCTCTTGGGGGTCTCGTGGAGGCTCTTGGGGCCTCCTCGTGCTCTCGGGGCTCGAAATGTCCGTTCGGTTACCCAATCTGGGCTCTCTCATGGAGCCGCCTTGGGGGCCTCTCGGGCGGTCTTGGAAGCCTCTTGGGCCATCTTGGGGCCCTCTTGGGCCGTTTTTGGGCCCTCGTGGAGGCCTTTCGGGGCGATGTTTGGGGGCCTCTTGGGCCGTCGTGGTGCGTCGGGATGCCGAAAGGAGAACGCCAAACTGTTTCCAAAGCCGAGTGAATACCTGTGAATTTTGCATCTTGGGGGCCTCTTGGGCCGTCTTGGAGGCCCCTTCGGCCGTCTGCAGGCCATCTTGAGCGTCTTGATCCGATCTCTCGGCGACTCGGAATCCTCGACCATCTGTGAAGCCTCTCGGGGCCCTCTTGGCCCGTCTCAGCGCCTTCTAGGCCCCGGGAGGGTAATGCGAGAATCCGCGGGAAGCCTACGATATTTGACGGGTTTGGGCCTTTTTGAGAATCCTTAATCCAGATGGCTGAGGCCCACTCTGTGCAGGGTCACGGTGTGTGCGTGTGTGTGTGTGTGTGTATATATATATATATATCATGTTTTATAGGGGGGGGGCATTCCGAGGGAGCAGAAAGCTCGGGAGCGATGAATTGTAGGTCCCGTTCTCGATGTTTGTGGCTGTTTCACTAAGGAGACATCCTCGGGATTCTGAACATCGATGGCAACTCATCACGCAGATCGCGGCGTCACGGTCCCAAAACGCATCGGAATTTCAACCCATTGAAGCAACCTTCAAAACACAGTGCATCTTGAATATGCTTCAATGGTTTTGCACATGACTGTCGTAGCGATGCCCCAAACCATGTCGGTTTTCTGAATATTGTCTTGCGAACCTCTCCGAGGGAGATCGAGCTCGGAGGCGATTCATTGCAGTCCCGTTCGCGATGGTTCTGGCCGTTTTGCTGGGGATATCCTCTGAATTCTGAAAACTGGTGGCGATCTTCACGCAGGTCGCGGCGTACACACAGTTACTTCACAGATGTGGTGGATATGTTTGGTTGAATGTTTCGTACATGTTTCGGACATATCTCGTGCACCTGTCGTATACGTCACGCATGCATGTCGCACGCGTGTCGTAGTGTAGCATTGGCCAGAGTACTGGTACTATTTCTATTCGTGCCACTTCCATTACACATACGAATGCTACAACTGATACTTCCGTTCCGCTGCTGTTACTGCTGCTAATACGACTACTACTACTGCTACGAGTACCACCCTCGTTACTACTACTACTACTACTACAACTACTACTACTACTACTACTACTACTCCTACTACTACTACTACTACTACTACTACTACTACTACTACTACTACGACTACTACTACTACTACTACTACTACTAATACTACTGCTACTGCTACTACTACTACTACTACTACTACTACTACTCCTACTCCTACTCCTACTCCTACTCCTCCTACTACTACTACTACTACTACTACTACTACTACTGCTATTACTGTTACGAATACGATTCCTACTGCAACTACGACTACGACTACGACTACTGCTACTACTACTACTACTACTACTACGACTACTACTACTAATACTACTACTCGCCCTACTACTGCGACTACTACTACTACAGTTACTAATATTTGCTAAGACTACTACTACGACTACACTACGACTGCGAACAACAACACCAGCAACACCACCAACAACAATAACTACATACTACTACTACTACTACTACTACTACTACTACTAGTACTACTACTACTACTACTATCACTACTACTACTACTACTACTACTACTACTACTACTACTACTACTACTACTACTACGACTATTACTACTTTTACTACTACTACTAGTACTACCACCACCACTACTACCAGACTGATAGTACCACTAGTACCACTACTACCACCACCACAAGCACCACAACAACACCTACTTCGACTAATACTACGACAACGGCTACTACTACTAACTACTACTACTACTACTACTACTACTACTACTACGACTACTACCCTACTACTACTACAACTACTACTACTACTACTACTACTATTACTACTACTGCCGTTGCTGCTACTACTGCTACTACTACTACTACGGCCACGACTACTACTACTTCTACTGCTGCTGCTACTCATACTACTACTACTACCACCACTACTACTACTACTACTACTACTACTACTACTACTAACTACTACTACTACTTCTGACTACTACTACTACTACTACTACTACTACTACTACTACTACTACTACTACTACTACTACTACTACTACTACTACTACTACTACTACTACTACTACTACTCGCCCTACTACTACTACTACTACTACTACTACTACTACTACTGGTACTACTGTTAAAGCTACTACTACTACTACTACTACTGCTACTACTACGACTGCTACTACTACTACTACTACTACTACGACTACGACGACTACTACTACTACTACTACTACTAGTAGTACTAGTACTAATGCAACAACAACTACTACTACTACTACTACTACTCATAGTAATACGACTACTACTACTCCTACTACTACTACTACTACTACGACCTCTACTTCTACGACTACTACTACTACTACTACTCCCACTGCTGCGATTAGCACTACTACTACGATTACTAGACAAAACTGCTACTACTACTCTACAACTACTACTGCCCCAACTACTACTACTACTACTACTACTACTACTACTACTACTACTACCACTACTACTACTACTACTACTACTACTACTACTACTAATACGACGACTACTACTACTACTACTACTACTACTACTACTACTACTCGCACTAGCACTGCTACTAACTACTACTATAACTAACTACAAACTACTACTACTAAATACGTTACGACTACGACCACGGACTACGACTCGATTACTACTACTACAACTACTACTACTACTACGATTACGACTACGACCACGAGTACGACTTCGATTACTACTACTAATAATACAACCACGGTTACGGTTAAACTTACTACTGGTACTCCAACTACTAGTGCTACGACTACGACCACCACTACGAGTACTACTACCACTACTACTACGACTACTACGACTACTACTGCTACGACTACTACCACTACTACTACTACTCCTACAACTACTACTGCTACTACTACTACTACTACTACGACTACTACTACTGCTACTACTACTACTACTACTACTACTACTACTACGACTACGACGACTACTACCACTAGTACTACAGAAAAACCAAAGCACAAACAACTACAACATAATAACACAACAACCAAAAAACAAAAACAATAAAAGGAAACTACAAAGAAGTGAACTACAAACACTACAAATACTACAACAAAAAAAAAAAACGCAAAAGACACATAAAAAAACGAAAAAACACAGAACAACAGCTACACAAAAACTACAAAAAAAAAAACCATCCCAGAAAAAGACAAAAAAAACTACACAACTAAAAAAAAATTAAAATGGGATTATTACTACGACTACGACCGCGACTACGACTACGACCGCGACTACGACTACTACTACTGCTACTACTACTACTACTACTACTACTACTACTACTACTACTACGACTACTTTCATTATTACCACCACTACTCCTGCTACTACTACTGCTACTACCACAACTACGACCAATACTACCACGACTACACCTACTACTACTACTACTTCAACTGCTACTACTACTATGTAAACTGCTACTGATACTTCTGATTATACTGCTGCTACTACTACAACTACTACCACCACTGCCACTACCACTGCCACTACCTCTGTTTCTACTACTAGTACTACTACAACTACTACCACTACTACAACTAATTCTTCTATTACTACTACTACTACTACTACTACTACTACTACTACTACTACTACCGCAACCTCCACTACTACTACTACTACTACTACTACAACTACTACTACTACTACTACTACTACTACTCCTACTCCTACTACTACTACTACTACTACTACTACTACTGCTACTACTGCTACTACTGACTACTACTACTACTGCTAGACTTACTACTACTACTGCACGATTACTACTGCTCTGCTACTACTACTACTACCTACCTATACTACACTGCCTCCTACTAACTACTACTATTACTACACTACCTACTACTATTACTATTAGACTACTACTTCTACTACTCCTATTACGACTGCTATTATACTGGACTACTACTAATATTCTACGACTACTACTACTACTACTACTGCTACTACCACTACTACTACTACTACTACTACTACTACTACTGCTACTACTACTGCTACTACTACTACTACTACCACCACTACTACTACTACTACTACTACTACTACTACTACTACTACTGCTACTACTACGGCACCGACTATCACTAATCACACGCACCGCGGCAACATAAAGTACCAAACGATAGATCCAAAGAAATTCAGGACAACGACTGTTCATCAGTAAGGGAACCCATTCAGTTCCAGAGGGTGACATCGCTCGTCTTCCAAAGGGCTACGCGAACACCTGGCCACAGAAAGCCCCAACGGGCCACAGAACGCTCCAACGGGCCACAGAAAACAGTCGTGTCCTGGGAGGGGGTCCCGGGGGGGGGGGTCCCGGGTCAGAATGCCCCCCACCCAGGGGGGTCCCAAAGCCCCAAACTCTCCAAGACGAACCAAGACTGCCCCAAGAGGCCCCCAAGATGGTGCAGGAAGGCCCCGAATCGCCGAACTATCAATCCAAGACTCCAAAATAGTCTTCAGACTGCCCGAGAGATTTCCAGGACGCCCCAAGGAGCTTCCCAAGATGGCCTCACGGGGCCAAAATGCTGATCGATTTTGGGATTCTTGCATTTTCGGCTTCCCGTCACTCCAAGACGGCCCCAAATGCCTCCAAGATCGCCCCAAGATAGCCCAAGAGGCCTCCGAGACCCAAGACGCCTCCAGGAGTGCCCAGACGGGGTACCCACACGGACATTTCGAGCCCTCGGCCTGAGAGGCTCCCAGGAAGCGCCAAGAAGCCCAAGACGCCCCCGAGACACCCCCAAGATGCGCCTGGGAAGCCCCACGAGGCCTCCAGGAGCCTTCCAACAGGCCCCCAAGAGGCTCCCAAGAGGCCCCAAGATGACCCCCCACAGGCACCCGAGAGCGCTCCGAAGAGACCCCAAGAAGCATCCCTGAGAACTTGGATCCACGTCGGCTTCGTCGTCGTCGTCGTCGTTGAGGGTCGGCGGCACCGGCCGTCAGGTCTCTCCAATAGGCGCAAGCAAGGCCGTCGCTCACGTTCGGCAGGTCGATGAAGATCGGATCTGGGAGGCCTGTCACTGACAGGGTCGAACCGTCCTCGACAGACTTCAGGGAGATGCTGATCGCGCCCTCTACCTGCATGCCTGGAGCTCCCGCGGGCACGGCCGATGCGGGGAGGTTCGCGGCCAAGACCAGCGCTCTCTCAACTCCGACGGCGTCAAATAGCGACGTGGGTAGACCCACTTCCACGCCAGTCGCAGCACTCACGTCTGGCAGTGGGATACGCCCGTCGATGGCATCGCTCACGCTTGCCTTGGTGACAGTGAGCTCTATTCCCTCAATCGTCGTCGTTATGCTTGACAAGTTCGATGCGATCAGCTGGAAAGCAACAATGTCCTCCGCCTTTGCGATGTCCGCGAGCGTCGCCATCCCAGGAATGGCCACAACGGGAATCGTCATCATAGGAGCGGCGGTGATCACAAATTCAGCGCTCCAATCAGCGGCAGCCATAGCATTGTCAGTTTGGACTTTGATATCGGTTGCAGCTCCAGCAAGCGTGGAATAAATGACAGCGGAAGCATTTTCGTCGGTGACCCGAATCGTGAAGCTAATCTTCACAGAGACTGCGCCCGACATTTCGTCAATTACAGTGAAACCCGTAATTGAAATGTCAGACGCTGGCACGGACAAAACAGCAGACAAACCAGATAATTTGCCGGCTTTGTAGGCCGTTGAAGACATGAGATCTGACGACGTCACGCCTGATGGAAGAGTTTCGTCTGCAATGTACCAGCCAGTTACCGTGAACACATCTGTGGGAATAGCGTCCGTCGTCTGGCAGAGACACCCGCCACAATCACATCCAGCATCACTCTCAAGCAATGCACAAGTCCAAGGTCGGCCTTCAGCAGACTGCGAGCCAATTTCTATACGTTCGTCGCACGTCGAACCATAACATGTGTTTGGACACGCCGGCCCTGGAGTAGGCTCTGAAGTGGGTACCTCGGTGGGCTGTGGAGTACGTTGAGCTGTAGGTGATGCGGCCGTCGGCGCGGGCGTAGGCGCTTGCGTTGCTGGCGTCGGAGGCGATGCTGTTGGTGCCAGAGTTGGGGCCACTGTTGGTGCCAGGGTGGGTGTTGGCGCTAGTGTTGGCGCCGACGTTGGAGCCCACGTCGGTACCAGGGTCGGGTCTAGCGTCGGCGCAGGCGTAGGCGCTGGCGTTGGTGCCACTGTTGGTGACAGGGTTGGTGCCGCTGATGGTGTGAAGGTCGGCGCCGACGTCGGCGTGACCGTAGGCGCCAGCGTTGGTGCCCGTGTTGGTGCTGGGGTCGGTTCCAGCGTCGGCATTGGCGTAGGCGCTGACGTTGGCGCTGACGTTGGTGCCAGTGTTGGATCTGGTGTTGGAGCCACTGTTGGTGCCAGGGTCGGTTCCGGCGTAGGCGCTGGCGTTGGCGCTGGCGTTGGCGCTGGCGTTGGCGCCAGCGTTGGTGCCAGGGTTGGTGCCAGTGTTGGTGTGGGGGTCGGTTCCAGCGTCGGCATTGGCGTAGGCGCTGACGTTGGCGCTGATGTTGGTGCCAGTGTTGGATCTGGTGTTGGAGCCACTGTTGGTGCCAGGGTCGGTTCCAGCGTAGGCGCTGGCGTTGGCGCTGGCGTTGGCGCTGGCGTTGGCGCCAGCGTTGGTGCCAGGGTTGGTGCCAGTGTTGGTGTAGGGGTCGGCTCCAGCGTCGGCATTGGGGTAGGCGCTGACGTTGGCGCTGATGTTGGTGCCAGTGTTGGATCTGGTGTTGGAGCCACTGTTGGTGCCAGGGTCGGTTCCGGCGTAGGCGCTGGCGTTGGCGATGGCGTTGGCGCTGGCTTTGGCGCCCTGCGTTGGTGCCAGGGTTGGTGCCAGTGTTGGTGTAGGGGTCGGCTCCAGCGTCGGCATTGGGGTAGGCGCTGACGTTGGCGCTGATGTTGGTGCCAGTGTTGGATCTGGTGTTGGAGCCACTGTTGGTGCCAGGGTCGGTTCCGGCGTAGGCGCTGGCGTTGGCGCTGGCGTTGGCGCTGGCGTTGGCGCTGGCGTTGGTGCCAGGGTTGGTGCTGGCGTCGGCCCAGGCGTAGGCGCAAGCGTTGGAGTTGGTGTTGGTGCCAGTGTTGGCGTGGGGGTCGGTTCCAGCGTCGGCATTGGCGTAGGCGCTGGCGTTGGCGCTGGTGTTGGTGCTCGTGTTGGAGCCGGTGTTGGAGCTAATGTCCCCAGCGTCGGCGGTGGCGGAGGCGCTGGCGTTGGTGCCGGCGCCGTCAGTTCAGAAGGTCCATGCTCGAATAAACCACACGGTCCAAACTGGATGTCGTACAGCTCGCCGCAGTAATTTCCATAAACTTTGCCTGAGTTCCAAGCATGGATCACATTTTGCGGTATGTTCACGTTAAATGACGAGTGAAACCGCGATCCGACTGCATTCCCGCCATTATCCACCAAACACATGTGCACATTGCCGCCTTGATGGGTCGGAAAGATGAAACTGTCAAAGCTGAGCTTATGAGCCAACGTGGTCGGCCATCCTTTCCAATGTCCCGAAGAAACAGTAATGCCACTGATTGGGCAAGTGACTGGAATCGTTTGTGCCGTCGTCCGGCGGACGTCCGCGCGGAGGACGGTCGTGTCCGCCGTCAGCGCCATCTGTCGGCTGGTTTTTTGGGGCGGAGTCGAGGCATTGAGCTCTGAAATTGTCGCGTTCGCCGACGCCCTTCGAGCTTCGCGTTCAGAGGTCGGCGCAACTGTCGGAGGCGGTGCCAGCGCGGAGCTCAGTCGGGCCACGGTCGTGGGCCCGACAACCAAAAGCAAGAGCATAGCGCCCATCATAGTGCCACCGACTCAAAGCCTCAGCTGCTGCCGACTCAAGGCCTCGGCTGCCTTAAAGTGGCCAAAACGATTGGGCTTGGCTCGAGCCATTATGGTTACGGACCCTCTTGAGGCTCTCTTGGGAACCTTTTGGTCCCTCAGGGGCCTCTCTTGGGTCATCTAGGGGCCAACTTGGGCCGTCTTGGAGCCCTCTTGGGCCGATTTTTTGAGGTCTCTTGTGCCGAATTGGGGCGAGCCTGGGGGCCTCTTGGGCAGTCGTGGACGCCGTGAAGGCCAAAGAAGCAGGTATGCTAAACAGATGCGCTTTCCTACAAAGGAATGGGGCGAGTTCTGCCTCTTGGGCGTTGTTTTGGAGGCTTCGTGGAGCGTCTGGAGGGCTTATTCGGCCGTCTTGACGGCTTCTTGGGCCCTCTTTGAGCGTTCTTGAGCCGTCTTGGGTCCTTTGGCCTCCCTAAGGCCGTCTTGGAAGTATCTAGGGCGCTCTTGGGGCTGTCTTGGGCCGTTCTGTGGTCCTCTCAGGCGCTCTTGGAGCTGACTTGGGCCAAACACTGCATAACATTTGGCGATTAGACCTCCTTGGCACGGGGACCGAAAGCGCTCGTACTCTGTGAGGGCGCGAGATCGCTTGCTCAATGCCTTGGAGCCTCTTCCTATTGGGCCGTCTTGGGCCCTCTCGGGGCCCTCTGGGGCCCTCTTTGGGACTTCATGAAACCCTCTTCGGGATCTCTTGGGTACCTTTTGGGGCACTCTTGGAGCTCTCTTGGGCCGTCTTGGGGCTGGCTTTGGTCGTCTGAAAGCCCTCTTGATTCGTCTTGGGGCCGTCTTGGGAGCCTCTAGTGCCGTCTTGGGGCGATCCTGGGGGCATCTTGAGGCGTCGTGGACGCTGTAAAGACCACAGAAACACAGATGCTAAACATCCCAGTTACCACTTACACGAAGGAGATGGGACGAGTTGTGTCTCTTTGGCGTGCAGAGTTCAGGTCAGATTTTTGGTTGCAACCCTTTATTTTGTTCATGCGGTAATTTCTGAGCGGCTGTATCTTACTCGAATGAGGCAACCCATGGTTGTTCGTGATTTGGACCTGCGTGCGCGGCGACCCACGCATGTGCCCCGCATCGTATTTTGGTTAAGTGGTTCTTTATACAAGGGCATTATAAATCAACGCATGTGCACAACACAATAAAATGTATCAGATATGAGGGGAAAAGAGGGTCGACACGGGATGCTCGGGAATGATACTACATAAAACTTGATACGACATTTCCCCCATAGTACATACGAAATAATCAATACGCGCATTGGTATCGTGATTCTTCGTAGGGGCAGGATACAATATTGCGCAACACGTGTTGTGCACAAAATATGTTGTGAGCCCTCTGGGGTTCAACCTATGGGGCGCGTTCTATGCGGTGCAACCCGCCCTGCCGAACTTGAAGTTGTCAACTCCACTGCTTGGACAATCACCCCACCCACCCGCAACTTGTTTGCAAAACCTATGCGGTGGCGATTACGATGAGTGCTCAGCGCTGGCTGGCGCATCGCCGCGGCAGCGCTAGCGCGCATGCTCGCGCGCAAGGCGGCCAGCTAGTTTGGCGCGGCCGACGCGGCAGCGGTGGCGCTGACCGCTGGGCACTTCCCAGCGGGCACTTCAGTGCGAGTCGGCGACTTGGGCGGGCGCGGTGTCTTGGCAACGTCGATCTCGGTAGACGCGGTAATGACAGTAGACAACGGCGGCGCGGCCAGTGACGGCGCCGATGCTGATCACGCCGGCGGCGATGACTGCGTCCTCGCGTCGGTGATGGAGATTTTGGAGGGAGTTCGACACGCGCGCCCTGTGGTGTTGGGTCCTCGGTTTGAAGAGACATCGCCCCGCGACTCTTCCTCTCCTCCTCTTCTCTCCTCTCCTCCTCCCGCTCCTCCATCCTCCCCACCCCCCTGTCGGCACACCCCTCACACGCTTCGTGGCCCCATATGGAGCTCCACCGCACGCCCCAGCGGCAACGCCCGCATGCAGTTCCCCCCCCTTCCCATCTCAGTGCATCCCTCACACGTTTCGCGGCACCATAGGGAGCTCCACCGCACGCCCCAGTGGCAACGCCCGCATGCGGTTCCGTCCTTCTTTTCGGCACACCCCTCACACGTTTTGGGGCCCCCCAAAGGGGCTCAACCTAAGACCCCAATGGCAGCGCCCGCAGGCGGTTCCACCCCCATTTCGGTGCACCCCCCAAAAGCTTCATTGCAACAGAAGGAGCTCCACGGAAGGATCCAGTGGCAGCGCCCGCATGCGGTTCCGCCCTCCATTTCAGCACACCCCTCACACGCTTCGTAGCCCCATAGGGAGCTCCACGGAAGACTCCCGTGGCAGCGCCCGCATGCAGTTCCACATGCAATGTCGGTACACACCTCACACGCTTCGTGGCCCCATATGGAGCTCCACCGAAGGCCCCAATGGCAGCGCCCGCATGCGGTTCCACCTTCGATTTTGGCACACTCCTCACGTGCTTCAAAATATCATAGGGAGCTCCACCTAAGGCTCCCGTGGCAGCGCCCGCATGCAGTTCCACCTTCCATGTCGGCACACCACTTACACGCTTCGTGGCCCCATATGGAGCTCCACCGAAGGCCCAAATGGCAGCGCCCGCATGCGGTCCCACCCTCAATGCGGGTGCACCCCTCACAAGTTTCGTGGCCCCATGGGGAGCTCCACCGAATGCACCAATTGCAACGCCCGCATGCGGTTCCATCATCCATCTCGGCGAATCCGTTGCACGTTTCGTGGCCCCACGGGGAGCTCCACCGAAGGCCCCAGCGGCAACACCCGCATGCGGTTCCACCCCCACTTCGGCGCACCATTCACACGCTTCATGGCCCCAAAAGGGGGCTCCACCGAAAGCCCCCGTGGCAACGCCCGCACGCGGTGTCACCTTCCATTTCCGCGAACCTCACACGTGCCGTGGTCATGTAGGGGGCTCAACCTACGGCCCCCGTGGCAGCGCCCGCATGGCGGTCCCACCACATTTCGGCACATCCTTCACGCGTTTCGTGGCCCCATAAGAAGATCCACCGACCAGAATACACACGAAGACGGTACCTGGTTGGGCCCTTCGCCAAACTGTCTATACGGTTTCGGGACACTCGATGTTGAGATCCATGCGAAACCACAAATGTTTGAAATATTACAGCATGCGCGCGAGACGACGCGCGCATGAGCACGTCGTCCCGTTTTTCTTCTGCAAGGGATTATTGCGACAACACGCGCGCACGGGTGTTCTTGCGATTCCGACATGCGTGCGCGAGAGGCCCGTTTGGTAGCATGTTCTGCAAAATTTGAAAAAATGATGGTTTTCGTAAGCATCCGCGTGGGCCCGAGCGCAAAAGGTAACAAAAAAAAAAAAAAAAAAAAAAAAGAAAAAAAAAATAACAAAATATACAAAACACAATCAAAAAAAAAAAAAAAAAAAAAATAAAAAAAAGGAAAAAAACAAAAAAAAACGAAAAAAAAAAAACAACAAACAAAAAAAAAAAAAAAATTCAGAAAAAAAAAACAAAAGGCGTGGTGTATTGCAAGTTCTTGTTGGAAAACCATGTTATTATATATGTTTCGGGACACTCGATTCTGAAATCCTTACGACGCCTACAGATGTTGAAGGCTTTCGGCATGCGCGCGGCGGCGCGCGCGTGCGCACTTCGTCCCATGGTTTGCAACATGCATTTGTAATACGCGAGTGCGCGCGCTTAGTAGTTTTGGAAGAGGACGAGGGGGGCGAGGGGGGGCGAGGCTGGTCCGGCTGGGATGCTATGACTTCATATTTCGGATGAACGATGGGGCAGAATCATATGTACATGGCGATACGAGGAAGGGGCACGTGAAGCCCCTGGGGGGAGGGGGGGATTGATCTCATTATTCTCTTAGGAAGGAGAACACACACATGTGTATATCTATATACCTTTACGACCACCCGTCGGGTGATAAGGAAGTTCGGGTGGGGGGGAACCAACGTCTCACTCGATCGGTCTCAGCATCGATTTCAAGATCGATCTCACGATCGGCCTCGCTCGATCGATCGCACCCGATCGATCTCACAATCGATCTCAGTCGACCTATGTATTTCGATCGACCTCGAAACCGATCTGACTACCGATTTCACAATCGATCTCAGTATCGAACCTCGCGATCGATCTCACAATATATTTCACATTCGGTCGCAAGACCGATATCACTGTCGATACCACATTCGACCCCACAATCAACGTGTTCATCACTATCACCAACATCATTGTCATCAAGGTCATCAGCATCACCAACGTCATCATCATCGGAACACCATCATCATCATCACCGTCAAAATCATCATCAACGTTACCATCACCACCATCATCATCGGGGCACCCTCATCGCCACAACCATCACCAACATCATCATCACAACGACATCATCATCATCGGAACACCACCATCATACTCATCATATCATCATCATCAGGAACCACATCGCCAAAATCATCATCATCGGGACACCATGAATCATCAACATCATCACCATCATCTACATCATCTCAGGGGCACCATCATCACCATCACCATCATCATCGACATCACAATCATCACCATCATCGGGACACCATCACCATCATCATCATCAGCATCCGCATCATCGGGCCACCATCATCAAACTCATCACAATCACCTAACCATTATCCCATTATCAGCACCATCATCATGGGGACCTCATCATCGTCACCATCGTCGTCATCAACACCACCACCATCAAGTGGACACCATTAAAACCATCACCAGCACCATCATCAACAACACCATCACCAACCCCATCATCATCATCATCATCATCGGGACAGCATCGTCATCATCATCTGCATCATCATCATCAACTCATCCTTCCACCATCAACGTCATCAAAAACATCAACATCACCACCATTTTCGGGACACCATCATCATCATCAGCAGCATCCGCATCATCATCATCGTGACACCATCATCATCACCACCATGGTCATGATCATCAGCATCACCATTATCACCGTCATCATCATCATCGGGACACCGCCAACGTCGACATCATCATCAT